TGGCTTTAGCTTCTCAGTGCAGTGCTTTAACCTGCTGTGCCACCAGGGAGGGCCATGTTTTGTTATTTATACTTCAAATACTCACTATCGTCCTATCATCCCACAGCTGCAAGTTTATACTGCACATAATCTTTCAGGACTATTGGAAAGTCATCTTCAAAAGATACATGGGTGAATTTAAGAACTCTAGTGGCAAAGGTTATTGCTGAAAAACATATGTGCTTACTTCATTTCTTGCCCTTTCTTCCACAGTACCCAGCTCTCCAGTTTGAAATACCTCTATCTATCTTTCTCCTTCATTGCTCACTTCTGTTCCCATGGTCTTCCATACCATCTCCTGTGCTTGAAGGAAGCCCTTCACATCTCTAATCTGTCAGTGATCAGTTTCTCCAGAATATTATGTCTCCTGCCATCCTGGTTTTGGTCATTTCAAAAGACTGTATATACTCTGCTCCATAACTCCCCAAGTGTAATGAAAGAAATATTATTGACCCTTACTCTGTTGCCCCACACTTGCCCCTCATATGAAGAATGTAAACCAGAAGGAAGAAAAGTACAACCTGTGGGCTACTAGTGCCACCTAATATTTAAGTAAGTTTTTTAGCAAAAGTTCATAATGGTCTCCTGAGGAAAAGTCAGACATTTTTTGTTAGGATTTATTTTAATGTAGTTTTCTCACTTTAGTTTGAAAGTTTTGGTGTAAAATAGTACTTAATATGTTCAAGAAAGCAATCTTTTTTTAAATAGTAGAATAACATGTGTTTGTTGGATTCAAATGAATCACTTAAGAAACTAAAATGAACAGAATTGTTGATACTGATCTCTAAAATTAATTTAAGATTAAGAATGTTGCCTAACATCATTAACTCTAAATAAGGTAGTACCCAATCAATCCCATGGGGTTATTTTTAAGTTTCACATGATATAAATTTGTGTAAGTACATTGAACCCCACAAATGTAGGGAACATAACCTTTTTCATTTATTCTGACTCTTGCTTATTTGACTTGGTTATTTACAAACCTAGAAAGCTATTTCATAGGACATTTTGCTAAGTATTTGTACCCCTTTACTGGAGAAAATTATAAGAAAGTTAATTTGCATATTCTTTTTATTTTTAGATTAACAAAAGCAGTGGCATTGTGGAAGCATCAAGAATTATGAATTTGTATCAGTTTATTCAGCTTTATAAAGACATCACAAGTCAAGCAGTAGAAGTTTTAGCACAGAGCTCCACTTCTGAAGACCCTGATGAAAATGCATCATCTGTAGTGTCTTGTCAGGCCAGTCTTTGGATGGGAAGGTATACACTGCATGTCACTATGTTTTACTTACTTTCCAATATGCAGGCTACTGTAATCTCATTGATATTTTTGCTGATGCTGTTTGTGATGTCTTAAATTATATTTATTTTTATCTCAGTTGATACTATATTCCAGCTCTGTTTTTGGATTATTTTGTGCATTAAGACATTGTTAGAGTGCCAAGTTAAAGAAAACTTAAGGTGGCTCATACTAGGCAGTGTTTCTGTCAATCCAGATTCCTTGCATATGCTCTCCATTTCTGCATGCTCACATTTGATAACAAAGGAGTTAAATGTGAAAGGTTAAATGTCACTCTTCTAATAATTTTTAGACAGTCAAAACCCCATGGGAAATTAGGTCCAAGAATCTGACCAAACCACTCCAGTTTTCCTTAAAAGTGTTTGATTGGAGCATTATAATTTTAAATATTAGAGCCAAGACTTGATAGTTCATTCAAGAATAAACAAGTAGTTGGTGCACATATTGTATATACTGAGTTACCAAGAGGAAATTAAGTCAACCAGTTTTCTATGATCATGCTTGTTTACTCAGGCCTAATATATTATTGTCCTATCTAAACTTTCTTTTCCTTCTCTGTAGTGTTTTTGGCATGTTAAAGCTCCCACCTGTTGCTATTTGACAACCCTAGCCATAATTTAATTTTGTAAACACCTCACTGGAAAAATCTTACGTGGGCCCGGGCATGTTTATGTCCTGTCTTATTGTTATACTAGGTAGACAGCAGAAATCTGTATTGACAGTATCTGACGCTTTAAAGAATGGATTTAACAAGAACTTTCACTTACTGTTCTATTTAGAATTACATTTTGTAGTCTATTCTTAACCAATTGGTTTCTATTGTGATTTACTACTATGTCATAGTAAAATTATATTTTTCATTTTATTATTTCCTATTAACCATTAATAGGATTGTTTAATTTTCTGGGTTTGGGATGTGCCAAGTATTGCTAAACTACAAATAAGTTTTAGAACACTATAGGCAGTATTAGACTTATTAATCTTTCAAAATGTTGCCTGGTTTTCTGCTATTTTCCCCTCTCCCTTTTCAAAATGGTGATTTTTTAAAAGTATTTTGAAAGCTGAGAATAGGATTTACCAGTATATTTAAATCCTGATAGCAAATTAGAAGGCAGTAATTGTTTTGTTGTTGTAATCATCTTAATGAAGAAAGTAAGGTATTACCTCTTTTCATGTACCCTGGAGACAGAAACTTCAGTGCCTAATACTAGGTTAGGGCTGCTCCATGCATTGTAGTTGGTTGTGTTTTGTTCTTATTTACAGTAGTTCATAGAACAAATCAAAGTTGAAGGTGATCTTGAAGGGCATTTACCTAGTGTAAATCTGATGTTAGTGGTCTAAATTTATTGAGTACTTATAGAGCATGGGGTTTTGTGCAGTGTTTCACATGTATGAATTCATGAAATCTTCACAACAACCCATGATTGTACAATTATTGATCCATTTCAGTTGAAAAAGCAAATAAATTACATGGCCAGAATTTGGCCTGAGACTCACATTTCAGCAATACAGGCATGCCCCTAGAATCTGCATTACTACTCTCTGGTACATAAAGAGGACTAGTGCTTGTGCTTCCTAAGTTTTGCTATTTTGTGGTTTTGAAGTGTAACTTGAGACTCCGTTATGCTCACAGATGGTGCCACTGCTGCTGATCCATGGTTACTCTGAGACCTTTTCACCACATTTAGCCAAGTGGTAGTCAAAATTGTACTTGAACACTTGTAGTTATATGAGTTGCCACCTCAGAGAAGCAAGCCTTTTCATATGCAGATGACCTCAAAGAAGTCTGTAAAATTTTCCCCTTTTGTAAAATCTGATTTTGTTGAGGAAGAAAAGCCCAGACTCTAGAACTAATTTGCCTGTGCTCAAGCCCTGGGTTTACTATCACTTAGGACAATTGATTAAACTCTTTTTCCTCAGTTTTCTTATCTCTTGAAAGGGATGATATAAAATAGTATCTATTTCATGGGATATTGAGAGAGTTGAGTGAGGTAACATTTGTAAAGTGCTTAAAATAGTGCCTGACACATAATAATATATCTGTAAGAGTTAACTGTCATTAACAATAGCTTATCATTATTTTTAAATTACTTCTTATTCCGTATTCTGCTAATTCTATGCATTCCTTTCTGTTTCTGTGCTCCAGATTACAATGAGCAAGCCTATTCTCACCCCTTCAAATATTTGAAACAATAATCAAATTTTCACTGAGCCATTTTTCTTCAGAATAATAAAGTCCACAGTTCTATGACTTTTGCTCTATGGGCCTCATCTATATATCTGAGACTTTCCTGGATGACCTTTATCTGTCAATATTTTTTCAGAATAGAGGGGAAAAGAACTGAATAATACTTCATTCTGCAAGTAATCTAACAAGGAAAACAGTTCTGGTCACTGTACCACTGGAAAGGTAACAATCAAGGGAACACTGTGCCAGCTCCACTGGAAGTTTCTCTACCTTCTTTTTTCCTAACTCCATCTAGAATGTTGTTTGTGATAGCCCTCTGCTCCTCACTTTTAAACCCTAACCTTCAGAACTGCTACTTTTGGTGAATTAAGTGATATCCTATGCTACCAAAATCCATGCCCATATTCTTAGATGGAAATAGTGAGTTCTTCAATACATCTGGACTGGCACAGTTTGTAGCATCCAAAAAATATTTAAACACTGAACTGAACAGATATATAAAAAATCAAATATATTAGGACCACCTCCATTTAGATATTTAATTCCCCATTGCCCTATTTGCCCATTACAAAAGCATAACATTTAATCTGTTGCCACATTTTGATGATTTGCCTTTTAATACTCCTTAGGCCAAGTGAATTGCTGAAATGAGAATCAAATTGGTTTTCCTCACTCTAAGATGTTCTCTCTTTCTGCACTCCCAGTTAATCTTCCGAAAGTAGTATGTCAGTGGGATTCACTTTTCCCCTCAATCAAACTCATGATTTCTAGTTTGCCCATCAGAACAAGTTTAAGCTTACTATTTTGATATCAGGCTGTCTTTGCCATATTGAATTACCTTTCTCTCAGTTTCTTCCACAGAGTATCATGCCAAGCTTCTTGTTATACACACACACACACACACATTCACAGGATTTTATATACCTCTGCATCTTTATTTATTTACCTGGAAATTTCTGTTAGATTTTAACCATTTTTCTACATCATATTTCCAACAAGTTTAAAATACATTCATTTTTTTCCTTCATTAACACTTACTACAAGTAGTATACATTTGACACTTACTTATATTGTTTTATTTTCAAATTTGTGAATTTTAAACTGCTATTTCATGTCATAAATAGAATTATAATCACAGCAGAGAATAAAAAATGTATTAGTGATAGATCTTATCCTTAAGATGATAGTCTAATGGCTATATTTTGAAACATTTAGTTTTTGGATAATTATAAAAATAATACATGCTTGATGAAAAAAGTGTAAAAATTACAGAAAAGCACTAAAGCAAATTAAAACCACTTCAGGAAACATTTATTGAGCACCCATGATGATAAACTCCCTGTAGTTACCATAGCCAAAGAACTTATGGTTTATGGATAAACAGCCAATTAGAATGCAGTATTAAAGTCCTTGAACTGAAGCAAATGTTGGTTTTGAGAGCAAAGAGAAGGTAATATTTTGAGCTGAGTTACTGTGTTTGGAATTTAACAAGTTCGCAAGGATGTTCCAGGAAAGGAAAAAAACACATGTAAAGACACTTGCTCATTTAGAAAAATTCTAAACTGTGACTAAGGTTGTGGGTTTGACAATTCTCAAGATGAAATTGCTACTTGAGGACAGAGACTTTGTTTTCTATCTCTTTTGTACTTCCTATAGTACCTGATACTGAAGACTGAGCTTTTTTTTTATTTTTTCATTTGTGTGTCCATTATCAACATCAACATATTAAGGCCCTGATGATGGCAAGGTCAGTATTTTAGAGAGCTTTATATCATACATAGTGAATAAATCATTTATATAAATTGAACATGATTAAATAGGCCAAATTATTTTCAGAAACACCTTAATGTTTTCAGTGTTTGTCCACAGATTCTTTTTTAACAATTACAGAATTTATCTTTTGCCCTATTTTCCTTTATGAAATTTTCCCCTCTTAGTACTTCTGCCCTAAATATTTGCTATCCATATAAGATATGTTAGTTTAGTCTGATTTTTGCACAAGTCATGTTGTGTTGTATGCTAGGGGCACATAAATATGTGATAATGCTCTCTAAGCATTTAAAAACAAACTATTAAGTACAGTGACATCAGAGAATATCATTGCTCCAGCTCAGTTTTCATCTTGCAGGGTGAAGCAGCTGACTGATGAAGAGGAATGTTGTATCTGTATGGATGGCCGAGCTGATCTCATCCTGCCTTGTGCTCACAGCTTTTGTCAAAAGTGCATTGATAAATGGTAAGTTATCTATGCATTTGTACCCCTTCATGGGATAGGCAGAGGTCAAGAATATTTGTGCTTGACTTGCGTCTAGAATCAATGCTTCCTCTTCCTTCTTTCTCCTCATTGCTACATTTATCCTCTATGTATTATT